TCCATAGTTCTTCAGGCACTCTAGCAGATCTAATCCCTTGAATCTATTTCTGACTTCCACTGTATAATCGTAAGGGATTTGATTTAGGTCATACCTGAATGGTCTAGTGGTTTTCCCTGCTTTCTTCAATTTAAGTCTGAATTTGGCAATAAGGAGTTCATGATCTGAGCCACAGTCAGCTCCCGGTCTTGTTGTTGCTGACTGTATAGAGCTTCTCCATCTTTGACTGCAAAGAATATACTCAGTCTGATTTCAGTATTGAGCATTTGGCGATGTCCATGTGGAGTTGTCTCTTGTTGAAGGGTGTTTGCTGTGACCAGCGCGTCCTCTTGGCAGAACTCTGTTAGCTTACCCTGCTTCATTCCGTACTCTGTGGCCAGATTTGCCTGTTACTCCAGGTGTCTTTTGATTTCCTACTTTTGCTTTCCAGTCCTCTATAATGAAAAGAACATCTTTTTGGGTGTGTGTTCTAGGTCTTGTAGGTCTTGATAGAACCATTCAACTTCAGCTTCTTCAGCATTACTGGTTGGGGCATAGACTTGGATTACTGTGATATTAAATGGTTTGCCTTGGAAATGAAGAGATCATTCTGTCGTTTTTGAGATTGCACTGACTCAAATTGTTTGACTTTTGTTGACTATGAAGCCTACTTCATTTCTTCGTTTCAAATGGTATAACATAGTCTGTATTACTTAATAAGATATTTCTGCTTTTGTACAAACATTGAAGGCACTCTTCCTTGAAAACACTTCCCAAATATGTTGTTGGATTAAAAAAAAAGCAATGTATGTTGTATGTAATAATGCTAACATTACTATCCCTCTTTTTAAAGAGAGCTGGTGGTGGTAGAATAGGTCTTGTTCTGAAAGAATACATAAGAAACTGGGCTTGAGAACTGAGTGGCCGGGGGATAGGTTTCGGAGAAAATATTGATCTATATGGATGCAATATGTGAACACATTAAGCTATTGTATATGAATGCAGTACCTATGTGTTTTAAATCCTTCTGGTTCACAGTTGTAATGAAAGGCTTCTTTTATTGTTTCTCTTATTAGAATACAGTACAGATACTAGAACATATTAAATAGTATTGTGTGCAAGTGGCTGACTATTGTCTTGCCTTGTTTATTCTATCCTTTTTCACTCTAATTCTCCTCAGAGAAAAAGAATGCCTTTTTGGTGTTTTTATTCACTTTCAAATGGGATGAGGGCTACAAAAGTTCATGTTAACTCTTCGTCTCGGATTTTATTTCAGCATAGAGATTCTGTTTAAGAATGTAACTTGTGGAGGAACAAGGTCGTGAGGAAGCAGCGCGCGTTTTGCGGCCGCCATTTCTTCCTCCTTCAGTCTCGATCTTTTGTAGAGCTTCCAACAGCGCTATGTTGGGACAGAGCATCCGGAGGTTCACAACCTCTGTGGTTCATCGGAGCCACTACGAGGAGGGTCCAGGGAAGAATATATCATTTTCAGTGGAAAACAAGTGGAGGTTACTAGCTATGATGACTTTGTTCTTTGGGTCTGGATTTGCTGCACCTTTCTTTATAGTGAGACACCAACTGCTTAAAAAGTAACCCATGAGACAGATACGAAGAGGAACATATTAAGAGGTGCAGTCTCTTAAAAGGATCAAACCCTTGAACTCAGCATCCTAGATACGTTTGTAAATAAACTTATGGCATAAATCCTTATTGCCTCTTCTCTGAAATATGGAACATGATAATTGAACACATGCTTACATTTTATTTGGGTAATAATGCATTATTAGTTTCTTAATTAAATATGTATTTGATAAAAAAAAAAAAGAATGTAACTTGTGTGAGGAATTTTGAATGTCTAGGAACCAAACCGTACAAGCATGGCTTTCTGCCTCCACCTGGTGGGGGGAACATATACAGTTCATGGAGATAGGATAGAAAAAAGCCTTTAAAAAAAGAATTCCTGCTATCTTGTACAAGTGTAACTTGTGCTCGTTTTTAACCTACTTATTTAGGTGATTGGAAATCTCTAAGGTTTCTCTCAAAACTTCAGTAAAATGATTGCATTTCAGAACAGTGTTGTTATTAGCACCTATAACATGTACCTCCTGGAAATTTAATTGAAGAATTCCTATATAATTTTGAATTGAGTGAGGAGGTATGAAAATTGGGCTTTAGCCTTCTGTTTTCTCGCTGAAAACTGCTGGAAATAAGTCAAATAAAGGTAGGGACAGACTGCTGCTTATAAGCGTAAGATGGCAAGAGTAGTGCTGTCTTTAATTTTTGATTGAAGAAGGAATAGGGTTAAATGTTAAACATCTTTTTCATGTTATTAATTAAGGGTAGAGTATGTTTAGAAAGTAAAAAGTACTATCATTGCTATACTTAAAATGGATAAGCAGCAAGGACCTACTGTATAGCACATGGACCTCTGCTCAGTGTTATGCGGCAGCCTGGATGGGAGAGGGGCTGGCAGGAGAATGGGTACAGGGCTGAGACTCTTCTCTGTTCATCTGAAGCTGTCACAACATTGTTAACTGGCTATATCCCAGTATAAATTTTTCTTTTTAATTAAAAAAAAGAAAAAAGTACTAGTATAATTTATAATTAAAGCTCTTACTGAATTTCTAACTAATAATAAATGGTAGTAAATTTTACACTTTATTCTCTATCTTCCTTCTTCCCAGGCACATAGAAAGCCCCATGTAGTATATATAGTGTTTAATATTAGTTAGGTAACAAACATATTTACATATTTGAAAATTGGTAATTATGAATTATATATTTCCTATTAAGAATATTTGACTAATAAGATCCCCAAATCCTATTATTCTCCTTCCAAAATCCTGTTATTCTGCTTCTAAGATCCTTAATTAAAATAACAACAGCAATAACAGACACCCCTGTGATATCACACAGCTGTTAGTAAAGCCCATAGAAGTTAGTGATTGGAGAGCCTCTCTCTAAAGGAATAACTTAGAGTATGTTTATATGTATTCTGTGTTTACTTACACCCAGGGTGATTTTTAATAAAAATCAGTGCGACATACAAAGACCTAAGTAAAAAAAAAAGTAAAAGTCAGTCGTGTCCACCTCTTTGCGACCCCATGGACTGTACAGTCCTTGGAATTCTCCAGGGCCAAATACTGGAGTGGGTAGCCATTCCCTTCTCCAGGGGATCTTCCCAGAGATATTGATTATTCGTACAGGATCTTGACATCCCCCAGATGCCCAGAATCAATCCTTTAGTTCTTAAATCTTTGTGAGAACAGGAATCAGTGGTGGGGGAAAACACTTGGGTGACTTGGAACCAGACCTGTTTACTAAACTATGGAAATATTCAGTACTTTAACATCTGACATCAGCTTTTAATTGGAAGTTTGTTTACTTTCAATTAAACAAGAAGGGTCTATCTTTTTGTATAGATTGTTTATCATGTTTGTCTCTGTTATTTTGAAGTCATTGTTAATTCCAACATCAGGATTTTTTTATGAGTCAGTTTACATTGATGGATTTTTCTCTTAACTCTGGATCATGTTTTCCTATTTATTCAGATGCCTGATCATTTTTGTCACAGCATGGTGAATGATGGTAGAGATTCTGTATCCTGTTAACTTTGTCAAAGGAATGTTGAGTTTTGTCTGACAAGCGGTTAACTTACTGGAGGTTAACCTTGATCTTGTTCCTAACCATCATATGCAGTGATTTTTCTAGGGAGATATGCGAAAGGAAGAGAAGGAATGCAATTTGAAATAAACCTAGGCTGACTCCTACTGAATGAAGATCACTGGTAAACCAGTGACTGAAAGTGAAAGTTGCTCAGTTGTGTCCGACTCTTTGCAACCCCATGGACTATACAGTCCATGGAATTCTCCAGGCCAGAATACTGGAGTGGGTAGCCTTCCCCAGGGGATCTTCCCAACCCAGGGGTCGAACCCAGGTCTCTCACACTGCAGGCATGTTTTTTACCACTGAGCCACCAGGGAAGCCCGAGAATACTGGAGTGGGCAGCCTGTCCCGTCTCCAGCGGATCTTCCCACCTGCATTGCAGGCAGATTCTTCACCACTGAGCTACCAGGGAAGCCCAGTGACTATTCCACTAAACTACTTCTTTTGACATGTGGTTGTCGTTGTTCAGTCGCTAAGTCATGTCCGATTCTTTGTGACCCCGTGAGCTGCAGCACACCAGGCTTCCTTGTTCGTCACTATTTCCCAAAGTTTACTCAAATTCATGTCCATAGAGTCAGTGATGCTGTCTAACCATCTCATTCTCTTCCACCTCCTTCTCCTTTTGCCTTCAGTCTTTCCCAGCATCAGGGTCTTTTCCAGTGAGTCGGCCCTTTGCTTCAGGTGCTTGAAGTATTGGAGCTTCAGCATCAGCCTTTCCAATGACTATTTAGGGTTCATTTCCTTTAGGATTGACTGGTTTGATCTTCTTGCAGTAGCAGGTCTAAAACATAAAGTTTTTATATTCTAGCCACCACATGCTACACATAAATTTTACCATTAAAATATAAATTTGAAATAAAAATATATAATATTTTAAAAGATGAACTTTCTTTAAACTGGAAATTGTAATTGATTACAAATGCTCTGAAGTTCAAGAGATGGAGTTCAGTAAGGGGACACGTTATTCTGATCTTTTGAAATATTTTTATAGTTGGGAAGAAATTACAGTAAATTGTTAATTATCTGAACTATATAGTGGAATAAGTCATTGGACTCCAAAGAATTGAAGGTTAAAGAAAACATTGAAAAACATTGTTTTCACCATTATGAATTAAAATATTTCTGAAATAAACTTTTAACCTCTTAAGTATGAAAGCTAATTTAATAGTATATAATAGAGTGTATATTAGACATACATTTTTCATTCTTTCTTATGCTCAATTTTTTTTTATAGCATTTGATACTCTTGAGAGCTTCCCTGGTAGCTCAGACGGTAAAGAGTCTGCTTGCAATACGGGAAACCTGGGTTTGATCCCTGGGTCAGGAAGATCCCCTGGAGAAGGAAATGGCAGCCCACTCCAGTATTCTTGCCTGGGAAATCCTATGGACAGAGGAGCCTGGAGGGCTATAGTCCATGGGGTCTCAAAGAGTCAAACACAGTTGAGCGACTGACACTTTGACTTTGACTGTTCCCTTGGCTTTCTTAATGCCAGTTTCCATTGGTTCTCTTTCTTTCTTTCTTTCTGCCGGTATCTTTGTAGCTTCACTTTTGGATTACTCCTCCCTCTTGACCCATAAATATTTGGTACCAGATGTAAATAACACTGCCTTCCAGACTTGGCATTATAGGAGTAAGCAAATTAGGCATTTATTGCCATGGAAACCATAATTGTTAAAGCTCTTTGCAAGTATCAATAAATGCTGAGATCATACTACATAATTTCCAGTACTTAGTTAACTGAGAGGTCCTCTGGAGGGAGAAACTATATTTTCTTCACCTTTGAATCTTCGACAAGCATAGCACCTGTCACAGAGCCCAGGCAATAAATATTTGTTGAATGAATGTACACCATGAGATTCTGTGATACCTTAGAAATACTGTGGTCTGGAACTGTGTTTTCCACGACAGTAGCCACTAGTCAAGTGAAGTGACTTAAATGTTAATTTTAGGTTAAATAAAACTTAAAATTTAGTGTTTTTGTTACACTCGTTCAGTATTTCAAATGTGCGGTCACCACACATGGCTAATGGCTACTGTGTTCAGTAGTACAGATAACAGAATATCTCCATCATTGATGAAAGTTCTCTTGGACAGGGGTAGAGAATGGGTTCCACTACGCTCCCTACCTATCATTCTGTCATTAGCTCATTTTTATGGTTTCTCTGCCTCTTTCTTTTCTTGTCAGCTTCACTTATCCTTCCATCTTCTAATCTGTCATTTCAATGTGTCTAGTTTTTAAACTCAATCTATCAGGTTTGTAATAACAGCAGCTATGGTCATTTTTTCCCCCCAGAATTTCTGATCTAGATTGAATTATACATAGATAAACTCCTGTATAGTGAAATTGTTGATAAATGGCAGTTTTAAAAGTGGTTTCATGATCTTTGCTTGAATATTCTCCAGAGCAGTTATATTCATTGCTTTCCCAGTATGCTTTTCTTAAAAGATAACTGATAAATTGTTTATTGCTTCCCTACAGTTTGCAGTCTGTGCTGGAAGATCTCCTGGTTGCTACTTCTGATGGACTTCTTCATCTTATTCACTGGGAAGGAATGACAAATGGGAGGAAAGCTATTAATCTTTGTACAGTACCCTTTTCAGTAGACCTGCAGTCATCTAGAGGTAGTAATACTTTTTACATGAGATAGAACCAGGTGTTTAATATTTTATATAATCTAGTTAGATATTTTCTATGGATGAACATTGATTTTTCTACTTTGGAATTGTGAGTTGAGTGAGTGTGTGTGTGTGTAGGAAGGAGTAGTTTAACTGTTTAGTGTTGTTAGTTCTTTAAATTTTGACCTTTTAACTGTTCTTACATGGTTTGTAAGCAAAAGTGTAACAAAATTAATTTACTATATTTATATTCATATTTCAAATACTTATTTTTTCATCAGCAGGTTCATTCCTGGGTTTTGCAGATGTGCACATTAAAGACATGGAATACTGTGCCACACTTGATGGATTTGCTGTTGTGTTTAATGATGGTAAAGTTGGATTTATTACACCAATGTCAAGTAGATTTACTGCAGAGGTAGGACTTACTTTCAGTGTTTGTTTTTCAGTTTTGCATTTATTAATTTTAATCTTCATTAAATCCCCCTCCAGTTTTCCTTATTTAAGATTTTAGGAGTGGTTGTTAATTTTTTTTTATCAAAGCCATACATACAACTAGTATAAACAAAGAAGTCTTTTGACATGTTAATGAAAAATGATCGTTCCTTTCCTCTTTTCATGCCCAGTGTTCATTCTCAGAGGCAACTACTTTTTACTCCTTTATTGATTATTTTGCTGTTTATCTCCACTACTCTGAGCATTTCCTGTAATTTTTAGTTTTTAGGCTGTGTTTATTGACTTGCTGTTGTGGAAAATGACCATTTACTTCCCTCCTCCCTGGTCCCACAGCGTCTATAAGTTCTTCCCATCTTCCCAATATAGATAATGTGATTTTTATTATATTAGTATCTATTTCATCATCTTGAAGAAATTTCTCTTGGATCCTTCTGGATGGATTGCTTGCTACGCATACCTTTAACACAGCTGCATGTTGGGGCTGTCCATCATCATCATCCTGTGGATTCCCTATATTCCTTTACTCTTACATCCTTTCAGAGTTAATGGTAAATATTTGATTAGTTAATGTATGAATTTGGTTGTGACAGAGACCCAGAATAAAAATTTAGATTCACTGAAAGCTGTGTGGGGTTTGGTGGGTTTGGTTGACTGTGCTTTTCATAACATGAGCTAACTGGGTTATTTTTTTCCTCCCCACACTGTATCCAGTCTTCTCCAAAGACTGTGTACTTGGCCGGCCCAGTATTTTGGGATTTTGAGTTATGAAAGAGTTAGACTAGAGATTCCAAATTCAGGAACTAAACTCCCACGTATCCCTATTTTCAGTGTTGTTTAGAGACCACTGAGATTTTTGTCTTGTTTTTGTCTAAAGAAAAATTGCAGTTTTCTCTTGGAGTGGAGGCAGAATATTCCTTAGCGGCTTAGAGTGGGAGGTAGCCTAGGCAGACCCAGCTACTGAATAAACAGTCTCTGAACCAGTCCTGCTGCTTTTAGTTCAGCTTTTGAGACATTTTACTTCCCAAGCCTTTTGTGTAACCTGTAATGCAAATTTGACTGTTTTTCAAAGTGTTCCTTACTGCTAGTTAAGGACTCTACTCATCCACTTGCTTCCCAGCTTAGTAAATTTTCTGATACTGTCTCCTCTCCCATTCTGTCCTTGCCAACTTACACATTTGGGGCTTTAAGAGTCAGAGAAACTAAATATTCATGTTCAGCCTACTCTCTCTAATTGGAAAGAATTTTAAGTTTTTAAGGGCATATTTTTCTGTATGGTATCAGCTTTCTCTAATTTATTTCATTCAGCATGATGCTCTCAAGGTCCATCCATATTGTTGCAAAAGGCAAGATTTCATTCTTTCTTATGGCTAAATACAGTTGACCCTTTAACAACATAGATTTGAACTGCACAGGTCCACTGACATCTGGATTTTTTTCAATAAATACACACTGTAGTACTCTATAATCTGCAATTGATTGAGTCCACAGATGCAGACCCATGGATATGGAGGGCCAGCTGTAAAGCTGTGTGTGTATTTTCTACTGTGGGGGGTAGGTACCTCTAACCCTCATGTTGTTTGAGTCAACTGTATTCCATTTTGTGTGCTTGTATGTACATATACCAAATTTTCTCTATCCATTCATCCATCAGTGAGCACTTAAGTGTTTCCATATTTTGGCTTTTAGAAACAATGCTGCATAGAACATGGAGGTATAGATATCTTTTCAAGTTAGTGTTTTCTTCTCTTGATAAATACCCACATATACATGGATTATATAGTAGTTTTGTTTTTACTTTTTCTGAGGAAGCTCTTCTATAGTGGCTGTACAAATTTACATTGCCATCAGGAATGCACAAGGGTTCCTTTTTCTCCCATTGTCGCAACACTTAATTATTTCTTGTCTTTTTGATAATAGCCGTTCTGACAGGTGTGAGATAACATCTCATTGTGGTTTTGATGTGCGTTTCTCTGATATTAGTGGTATTGAGCATCTTTTCAGGTACTTTTTGGGCATCCCTATTTGTTCTTTAGAGAAATGTCTGTTCAGATCGTCTGCCCATGTTTTTAATCAAATTTTTTGCTATTAAATACATGAGTTCTTCATATATTTTGAATATAACCTTTTGTCACATATGTGATCTGCAAATATTTTCTCCCATTCAGTAGACTGCCTTTTCATTTTGTTGACATATATTTGGGATTTAAATTTATTTACTGAAAATAAACATGTTAGAGCTGGAAAGTGATTGACTCATTCTGAATATAAGCTTTTGTTAGTATTTGGTTAAAGAAAATTTTCTAGTAATTTAAGGATTTAAATAATGAAAAGTAGATGGACATTATTAAGAAAGTTATAAGTAGAAAATATAAGTTACATGAAAACATTACATATGTATTACTGGTAATTGGGAAATACTCTAATGGTGTATTTATATTAGACATTATTTAAGTGCCTTATAAAAACTCCTGTTTGGCATTCTATAGTGGCTGTACACATTTGCACAGCTGTAAATTTGTACAGCCACTAAGCAGTATACACATTTATATATACATCATACATATGTATACACTATTTATAATTTATAGTATACACAGTATACACTGTAAAAATACAGTAGACACTTCTATTAAAATGTGTCAGACTATGCCACTCTTCTGCTCAGAACCCTTTAGTAGGACTAGATTTTTAGGACAAAACGGGCTGAGGACAACTAGAAAAGCTGGAGAAAAAATAATTTTTTTTAATGTACTTAGAGGCTTTGGAGAGCTAACAAAACGGTAAGGAATTAAGAGACTGGGGAGGCCAGAGGCTCAGTGAGCTAAAATGAGCAATGAGCAAACAAGGCTGTATGCAACAACATGGATGAATCTCACAGAAATATTCAGTGGAAACAGCTGGACACAAAAAAGTACATGCTGTGATTCTATTTTACATAAAACAGAAGGAAATCTTAAAACCTAGGCAGCTCTGAATTAGAGTTTGTATGAGTGCATGTTTAAGTGTTAATAGTTTAAAGGAAAAGAAGAAAGTGATTACCATGTAAGTCTGGATATTGGTTACTTTTGTGGTTGGGGTGAGGGTATATTGATCAGGAGTGACACTCTTGGGAGATTTTTGTTACTGGTAATTCCTAGCTGAGTGGTAATTTCACAAGTGTTTCCTTTGTAATATTATGATGATGTACATTTTTGGTTTGGGTATTTTTCTTCAATGTATCATAATTCATAATAGAAAGGGCTAAAAAATTAAAGACTCTCCAAATGACTCCCCATATGTGAAATGGAGAAAAAGTCAAAGATCTCATGGTGGCTTTCAAAGCCCTCTAAATCTGGTCTGCTATTTCATCCGTTACCTCCTTTACTACTTCTTCCCTTATTCCACTCCACTCCAGCCACACAAGTTTCTTTTATCTTTGAACATGCCAGAAATGCTGCTATGACAGGGCCTTTCTCTTGCTCCCTCTCTTTCAGTACTTTCCTCATGAGGCACCTTCATCATAGGGAAAATAGTTTAATTTTACATCCTTCCCCCATACACTGTCTTCTCCATAATTGCCTTATTTTTTTGGTAGCATTTACCATCTTTCTGTGTAATACTGTACAATTTTTTTTAAACTTGTCAGTCTCTTAACAAATGTAAGGCAGGGATACAGCTGAGGATTTAGGTATGTTTGAATATCTGCAGTATCCTCAGTATCTAGAGCAGCATCTGGTGAATAGTGGGTGCCTGGAAGACTTTTATGGTAGGGATGAATGAATGAATTCCAGTGTAGACAGTAGTCCAAAGAAATAATGCTCATTGCTATCTTTTGCCATTTTCCATTATCTGAAGTAATGTATAGTTTTATTATTAAAGTAAAATAAATAAAACTCCTACAAAGAAGCACACATTTCATATTTAGATAGTAGATTATATAGTTTATTTAGGAATTTTAAAAAATCTATAGTATTATATTTTGAACAGCTTAATTATATCAGATCATCTAATGTTTACTGTTGTGATAATCCAAAAATAAAATGCTGTATTGTAGTGTGCTAATTTTTGTGCTTACTAAACTAGCAGTCATGGTGACCTTTACCTTAGAATATATGATCTAAGATGCCCTTGATTTGACAAATAAAAACAGACAATAGAGTTGACTCTATTCTGTGTCTGTATTCAAAATTAAGTAGCATATAAAGCTTAATAATAATATCATTCAGTCATTGAAGCTTATTTAACTTGTTGAATTCCTGGCATTATATTAAGTGGGTTATATGTATTGAATATATCTACTCCCATTGAATCTTCAAAACACTCTTAAGAGGTAATTTACAGAAAAGAAAACTGAAGCTTGAAAATGTCATAAAGTCATTTTTACAAGTGAGTGGTAGATCTGAGATGTGATGTTAGGATGCCATATACCATGCTATTAACCATTATACTATAAAGCAAAGGAATAATAGAGAATAGTAAGCAATTGACAAATCATTAGTCACTTCTAAAGAATGTCATTGTTGTTCAGCCCCCGAGTCATGTCCGACTCTTCAAGACCCTATGGATTGCAGCACACCAGGCTTCCTTGTCCCTCACCATCTCCTGGAGTTTGCCCAAGATCATGTCCGTTGAATCAGTGATGCCACCCAACCATCTCATCCTCTCTCACCCTCTTCTCCTTCTGCTGTCAGTCTTTGCCAGCATCAGGGACTTTTCCATTGAGTCAGCTGTTTGCATCAAGTAGCCGTAGTATTGGAGTTTCAGTTTCAGCACCAGTCCTTCAAAGAGTATTCAGGGTTGATTTCCTTTAAGATTGACCGGTTTGATCTCCTTGCTTTCCAAGGGAGTCTTAAGAGTCTTCTCCAGCACTACAATTCAAAGCATCAGTTCTTCAGCACTCTGCCTTCTTTATTGTCCAGCTCTCACATTGGTACATGACTACTGGAAAGACCATAGCCTTGAGACCTTTGTTGGCATAGTGATGTCTTTGCTTTTTAACATATTGACGAGGTTTGTCATGGCTTTCCTACCAAGAAGCAATCATCATCTAATTTCATAGCTGCAGTCACCATCTGCAGTGATTTTCTCTTCCCAAGAAGAGGAAATCTGCAACTGCTTCCACCTTTTCCCCTTCTATTTGCCATGAAGTGATGGGACTGAATGCCCTGATCTTAGTTTTTTTTTAATATTGAGTTTTAAGCTGGCTGTTTCACTCTACTCCTTCACCTTCATCAAGAGGCTGTTTAGTTTCTCTTTGCTTTCTGCCGTTAGAGTGGTATCATCCGCGTCTCTGAGATTGTTGATATTTCTTCTGACAGTCTTGATTCCAGCTTGTAATTCATCCAACCTGGCATTTCGCATACTGTGCTCTGTGTGTGAGTTAAACAAACAGGGTGACAGTAAACAGCCTTGTACTCCTTTCTCTATCCCGAACCATTCAGTTATTCCATACAGGGTTCTAACTGTTACTTCTTGACCCCCATACAGGTTTCTCAAGAGACAAGATAGACCAAATAAAATTGACTAATTCCCATTGATTGGGAAAGTTAAACACTATGTGCTAAGTGGAAAGAAGAATAATAGTGAGCAACTTAGATGCAGTTTCTACCATCAAGAGGTTTACTTTTTAATAGGAAAATTGTCTTCAATTAATTTGAATTTAGAGATCAGATATCCATCTTTTAGTGTTTTATCAATGAATTAGCACTGGACTGAGCTCATCTGGAAATATTTATTAAACCAGCTAATGAAATTGAGATTTTAAGGGGAAAAATCCAGATGGTAGTCCTGATGGGATGTTTTCCTATCCAGACGAAACCATATAAAGAACCATATGAAACCTTATGAAATTATGTTTACTGAATGGAAGCTATGTTAATTGAAGTATATTTGGAGAACACATTTTAAATCTTAACTATTTTTCTTAATTTTAGCAGCTTCATGGAGTTTGGCCACAAGATGTTGTTGATGGAACTTGTGTAGCAGTAAATAACAAGTATCGACTGATGGCATTTGGTTGTGCAAGGTAATTATTGCCTGTATTTTAAGACTTACTGCCAAAAATAATTTTTTTTAAAAACATAAGATGTTCTTATTAACACACTTAGGAACTTTGTTGTGCCTTTCATAATTTATGAATCAACCTTAATATAAAACGTAAAAGTATTTTAATTGAAGCAAACAAATACAAAGGGCAGATTTTGGAGATTGGGTGTTTTAATTTGTGAGCTTTTTTCAGTGGTAGGAAACTGAGTCACAAATTAAGGTTAAATCAGTTAAAATTTAGGCTCTTTATTGTTTTAAATAACATCAGGAGGAGGGTTTATTTATCCTCGGCTGTGCTGGGTCTTCAGTTGCTGTGCAGGATCTTCCCTAGTTGTGAGTGGGGGCCACCGGACTTCTCACTGCGGATGGCTTCTCTTGTGTGGAGCACAGGCTCTAGGGGGCAGAAGTTTCAATAGCTGTGGCGCGTGGCCTTGGCTCCTGAGCTCTAGAGTTACGGCACATGGGCTGAGTTGCTCTGCAGCATGTGGAAGCCTCCCGGACCAGAGATCAAACCTGTGTCTCCTGCAGGTGGATTCTTTACCTCTGAGCCACCAGGGAAGCCCCTAAATCCTTTCTCTTTAAGACATCAGTGTTGACTTGCCTTTGAATTAGTGAGTGTGCCTTAGTTAACAAGCAAGTTTAAATCTCATTTGTAAAATCATTTTCTTGCCTTGATTCAAATAATGCAGATTTTCAAAGTAAAATTGGCCACCAGTTCATTTTTAAAATAGCCTTATAGGAGATTCAGATTTTTCTATCTCTTCCTCAGTCATTTTGGCAAGTTTTATTTTTCTAGGAATTGGTTTCTTTTATATACACTGTCAAATTTATTGATAGAAGTTATAATACCCTTTGTAATTTTCATATTGTAAAATAAGAAATGGGGAAGTGCGTAATCAAGATAGTCACAGTTTTACAAATAATTATAATACAAGCATCCCATCTTTTCACAACTTGGTCAAGAAATAGAACATTGCTAGCCAATATAAATTTTATCACTCCTACTTCCTAATCATGACTCCCAGTCCCTTCCTAACTCATTTTCTCTTACATAGACACACAATCTTAAATCAAATGCATGGGTAAATTAATGATAAATCCTCAATAAGATCTAAAACTCATTCACATTCAGAATAACCTAATTACCACCAAATTTCCTTTATATCTCTTTTTTTTAGTCAGAATCATTCAAAATTCATGAATTATGTTTGGTTATCATTTCTCTTTAATTACCTTTTGCCTATAAAAATTCTTAGATTAGTACAAAAGTAATTGCAGTTTCAGATGATGAATTTTAAATCACTATAACTAGGGTCACACACATCTGTATTAATCAAAATGGGAACCATTACAACCAACACATTTTTGCCAGTGAGAAATAAGTTTATTTCATGGTGTAAAAATCTGTGCTTCAGAATTTGACAAACACTTGGAAAGCATTTTCTGTGTCCTGCTGGTTGTGGAAACATTTTCCCTGCAAAAAGTTGAGCTGCTTGAAGTAGTAGTAGTCGGTTGCGGAGAGGTCAGATGAATGGATGAGGAAAAACTTAGTAGCCCAATTCATTCATCTTTTGAAGCATTGATTGTATGACATGTGGAAGAATTGGGCACATCCTATTGACCAGTGCTGGCGGCAAGCATTGCAGTTTTCAGTGCATTTCATTGATTTACTGCGCATACTTCTCAGATGTAATGGTTTTGCTGGGATTTGGAAAGCTGTAGTGGATCAGATCACCAAACAGTGACCATTACTATTTTGGTGCAAGCTTGGCTTTGGGAAGTGCTTTGGAGCTTCTCAGTTCAACCGCTGAGCTGGTCATCGCCAGTTGTGTAAAATCCACTTTTTGTTGTGTGTCACAATCTGATCTAGAAATAGTTCATTGTTGCATAGAATAAGAGAAGATGACACTTCAGAACGGTGACTTTTTGATTTGTGGTCAGCTGGCAACCCACTCCAGTATTCTTGCCTGGAGAATCCCATGGATGGAGGAGCCTGATGGAGGACTATAGTCCACGGGGTCGCAAAGGGTCGGACACGAGTGAGCGACTTCACTCACTTCACTTATGAGGCATTCACTTGAGCTTTTTCATCTTTCCAGTTTGCTTCAAATGCCGAAAACGGTCGATGTTGAGTTCTTCAGCAACTTCTAGTTACAGGAGGATCAGCTTCGATGATCCTCTCGGTTGTTGTCAAATTCTGATGGCTGGCCACTGCACTTCTGTTCAGGGCTGTCATCTAGTTTGCAACACCAATTGAACCACCACTGCTCTGTATGTTCATTAGCAGTTTCTGGGCCAAATGTATTGTTGATGTTACTAGTTATCTCTGCTGCTTTATGACCCATTTTGAACTTAAATAAGAAAATCCCTCGAATTTGTTTTTTGTCTAACATCATTTCCCTAGTCTAAAATAAATATAAATAGCAAGTAATAAGTCATTAGCAAAAAAAACATAAAGCGAGAAATGCCCATTAAAATGATGTGTAACATAACCACATTTACTTAAGAATATATTCCAGTATCAAACAGCAAAGTTCAGCAGTGCAAAAATGCAGTTACTTTTGTACCAACCTGTAATGCCTTTGTTGTTTTTATGTTATGACATTAGCTTTTTGACATTAAGCGTCTTATGACATTAAGCGTCTAGGTCAACTGTTTACGAATATCCTACATTCTAAAGTGTCTTGTTATGTTTTCTCATAATGGCATTTAATTACTTTCTGTAACACCTGTTTGAACCTTGAAGGTGGTTCTTACTGAGCCATTACAGTCAAATGAGTAGGAAGCTCACAGACAGGAGCAGTGGTGGGTGTGTACTTCTACATCATCTACATTCAAGGCTAGCACCCAGGGGTCTAGCAAGGCCAGATGGGAATCCAGGCTTTCAACCCTTCTTCCAGGATGAAAATGGAATCTTGGCCTTCAGCCTTTTAGTCATGTCAGTTTTCATGAGTTGGGGAAAAATCAGCCCTTCTTATGGCATGATCGTGGGTTGTGATGAAAGTTTTGTGATTATAGCTACGTGACATACCAGACTAGTGGCTTCTAGCCTTGATCTCTCAACACTTACCAGGATGAATTACCTTGAACAATTAATCTGCAGCTGGTGTCCTTAGAGTTCTCTAGAAAGTCACCTTTCTTTTAGGATACCAGTTTAAAACCTTATTCTTACCCTTGTATTTAAGGTTTGATTAGATTCTAGTTAAACATTTTTGTTGTAGGTGATGTTTTGTACTTCCTACGGCATCATGAAGCAGTAACATCAAGCTGTCTCAATATTGATGAGCTAAATTTGATTACTTATAGTGATAATAGCTGTGTGTATCTTTAATATAAAAGTTTTTTTGCTTTGAGATTAGTAAGTAGTTTTTTAATTAAAAAAAAATACTTTAATGGTGGGCTTATGAGAAATGGAAAGAAAAGAATATAGGCACTATAAATACTTAAATTGTCAGTCTTTTGTAACTATTGACACAACATCTATTTCTTATATTAGCGATATCTGGATTCCTCACTGACTTGTTAGAGCTCAGCAACCCAGAGTTAGCACTTGACAATTTTAGATGCAAAGCAAAAACAGTACCTGCTAGCCATTTAGTACTGTCTCTCCGCAAGGTATCTAATTGGGCAGGTAGTCTGGATAGATATATGTTCCAGGCATTTGTCTTCTGACAGGTTGGAATAACAGATCAGATTTTCTCTCCCACCTGAAATAGTCAAGAAAATGGACAAAAAGATGAAACAGATATTTCAAATTCAAGACATAGGACATCAGGCAACAAAGGACAGTGATCCCTGAGAGATGAGAATCTAAATTTTAAAAAAAGACAAAAACTCTTCAACTGGCCCAGTTTTAATTTCTTTGAGAGAGTTTCCAGCACATGGATGGGGAGACAGGGTCTGGCAGATTCCCTTGACTGAGTGTGTGCAAATGAAAATCTGGGAGACCAAAGCAGCAGGGGATCACAGACCAGACACCAGAAAGGAGAGAGTGGCACAAAGAGAGAACTCCAAAAAGCTATAAAGGGTTTCTTTTGAGTATTAAATTGAAATATGGAAGATAAAAGACCCAAATCAAATATTACAGAAGAAAAGATTAATATACTTGAATAACATAGCAAGAGAAATGATACAAAATGAAACAGGAAAAAAAGGAATCTAAAAACAGAGCATCAGGGAGCTGTGGGATAGTTTTAAGCGGCCCGTTATTGCAAGTTTTATTTAGTCCCATTCTGATCCCTGTGAAGAGTTAGGCCTGGCTGGAAACCGATCAGAGATGCTGTGAGGAGACCATCTGACTTCTCCTACCTTGAAGGAGTACACATTATGGTCAGAACATTCTCATATGCTTGGTGTCATCCTAGTGTGTGCAGAAGCAGCCTTGGATTTAAATCATTTTGAAAACAACATTGATGTTAAATTTTGGTCTGAGAATTGCCATGTAAGCAGAAATGGTATTTTTTATGATTATTATAGTTCAATTTTGAAATGTAGCTTAGATGTAATATACAAACTCTGTTCTGGTTTCTGGCCCTTTGTAAGTTTAACCCTTGTAAAAAAAATTTTTAACAGAATCATAACCCGTACCATAGATAGAAGAGTATATATAATGTATACATACAAAAAATAATATAAAATGAAAAATAGCATATTACCAGTATTGAACTGATGAAGCCCCTGCTTCCTCCTCTTCTTTCATATTCCTCTTTTTCTACCAGGGCAGTTACTAACCTGGAACTTGTGTGCACTAGCTCTTAGTTGTATTTTTACCACAAATGTATTTCACTACTATGTTTTGGATGTTTTTCATGGTATAGAAATGAAATTATACTATTTATATAGATACATAGATAGATGGGTGGGTAGAGAGAGATGCTGTCCATTTTAAGGTATAGGACAAAAATTCATTTTCAGTACTATATGGTATACTATTATGTGAATATACCACAGTTTCTCTTCCCTTTCTCATTGCTGGACATGTGGATGGTTGGCATTTCTTTGCACTTACAGTCTTATAATGAACATTGTGTATGTTGCAAAGACAAGGATATTTCTGGGGTATATCTATAGGTGAAATAGCTAGACTATAGTATATGAATTTGTTTCAGGTTATGAGATGACTGTAAATTATTTACAAAATGGTTGTGTTCTAGTTTACACTCCTGTCAGCAGAACATATTTCCATAGTCATGTTTTTTATATTTGTATTTGTCTTTTTACACTGAAAGTGTTTTTGGTTTTCACAGTGGTTCTGTACAGGTTTATACAATAGATAACACCACTGGAGCCATGCTGCTGTCTCATAAACTAGAGTTAACAGCAAAACAGTATCCTGGTGAGTCCTCTTCTTTTTTTTTCCCCCTTTCTTCTTAGTTACAGATAATATGTGTAGTGAGTTTTGATTTGAATTAGATGATGGATGTCAAAGGCCAAGTATTATTAAAACGTGTAACAACAATTCTCTCTGACTCAAGGATTTCTACTAGAGGCTCCTGGGAGACCTCTTTTAATCTCTTCCATTTAGTTTTCTTTATCCTCACTTTAGTTGTAGCCCCCATGTTACTTGTCTGGGCTTTGCTTTAGACTCTTTCCTAATTTCATTGCCTCTGTTGTTTTATGCCTTTATTTCCATTTAGTCATTCAACAAGTAATTATTGAGTACATACTGTAGGCCAGACATTATTCTAAATGCTGGTACACAGTAGTGAACAAAACAAAAAGTCTCTCTCGGAACTCCCTTTGTGACTCTTAAGTGAATTCTGTCCACTGGAGTAAGTGTAAAATCTGTTATTATTGGAAATGTTTTTGACTGAAACTAACAGAAAACCCAACTTACTATCCCTTAAACAGGTAGCATTTATCCTCTATAATGGCAAGAAATCCAAAGGCAGGCTGCTGTTGGCATCCATTTGGCCTTTTCTTCCATGGTCACAGGTTAACCTAAGCCCCAAGCGTCACTTCTTGAGTCAAGAAGAAAGGAGGAAAGAAAGCATATATATGTTTTCTGATCAGGAAAGCAGAAACTAGATTGAAATGAGTTCTTGCAGAGAGGATATCTGTTTGTTTCTTCCAGTCACCTGGGAAAACTACATTAGTCTGGAAGCCTTTGCCTTATATTCTGTTTGAGATTTTTTTCTTTTTTGAATGCTACAAGTTACACAGATTATAGATGAGCCTGAGGACTGGCTTGTGGTTGCAGATTCTCACAGGAGCTTCTTTATTTTCCATTCAGTACCATGGGCAAAAACAGGAAAGTGCTCCTTGCTATTTTTTTCACCTTCTATGTGGTAGTTTATTTCTCACTCTCCCTTGAACATGGAATTGTATTCTCAGGATTACATGGTTATCTTCTATTCCCCATCTTGGCCAAGCTCTGAGTTTTATCTTCTGTTCCTCATATGCTGAGAGTCGTCATAGGTGAAAGTCAGGTCTCTAGGTTTTGGCAGAAAGATGCAGGGCAACAGCAGTTTGTTGCTTACCTCCTAGTGTTTTTTAATATTTTGAAATATTTAAGTATTCTGTTTAACATTTTACTTATTGCAGTGTGGAGAGTCATTCCAGCTATCAAATTTGCTGTCTTGCCAGAAATAGAAATTAGTTCCTTAAATATTTATCACTCTTATTGCATAGCTTTTAAAGATTGCATTTTTTTTCTTATTTCCTAAAGAGTTTTTGCTGCAGCTGGCAAGAACAGGGTGCTGTGTATTTTGATTGTATTTTCTAGCCCTTTTATCTGTTTCTTTTTTATCCATACTGTTGATGTGATGTCCAGTACAATAGCTACCAGCCACATGTTGTTATTTAAATGAAACTAAAAGAAAACCAAAATGTTTCTCAGTTGCCTCAGTTAGTTCAGTCTCTCAGTCGTGTCTGATTCTTTGCAGCCCCGTGGACTGCAGCACACCAGGCTCCCCAGTCCATCACCAACTCCCGGAGATTGCTCAAGCTCGTATCCATCGAGTCGGTGGTGCCATCCAGCCATCTCATCTATCTTCCCCTTCTTCTCCTGCCTTCAATCTTTCCCAACATCAGGGTCTTTTCCAATGAATCATTTCTTCGCATCAGGTGACCCAAATATTGGAGCTTCAGCTTCAGCATCAGTTCTTCCAGTGAATATTCCAGACTGATTTCCTTTAGGATTGACTGGTTTGGCCTCCTTCCAGTCCATGGGGCTCTCAAGAGTCTTCTCCAACACCACAGATCAAAAATATCAATTCTTCAGCGCTCGTGTTTCTTTATGGTCCAACCCTCACATCCATACATGACTACTGGAAAAACCATAGCTTTGACTAGCTTTGTCAGCAAATTAATGTTTATGCTTTTTAATATGCTGTCTAGGTTGATCATAGCTTTTCTTCCAAAGAGCAATCGTCCTTTAATTTCATGACTGCAGTCACCATCTGCAGAGATTTTGGAGCCCAAGAAAATGAAGTCTGTCACTATTTCCAGTTTCCCATTTATTTGTCATGAAGTGATGTGACTGGATACCATAATCTTCATTTTTTGAATGTTGAGTTTTAAGCCAGCTTTTTCACTTTCCTCTTTCACTTTCATCAAGAAGCTCTTTAGTTCCTCTTCATTTTCTGCCCTCATGAGGATGGCATTCTGAGGTTATTTTATTTCTCCCAGCAGTGTTGATTTCAGCTTGTGCCTCATCTAGCCCGGCATCTTGCATGATTTTCTTCATATAAGTTAAATAAGTAGGGTGGCAATATGCAGCCTTGATGTACTTCTTTCTCAGTTTGGAACCAGTCCATTGTTCCATGGGTGGTTCTGACTGTTGCTTCTTGACCTGCATACACATTTCTCAGGAGGCAGGTAAGGTAATTCTCTTTAAGAATTTTCCAGTTTGTTGTGATGCACATAGGCAAAGGCTTTAATCAGTAAAGCAGTATATGTTTTTCTGGAACTCTTGTTTTCTCTGTGATCCAGCGGGTGTTGGCAGATTGATCTCTCGTTCCTCTGCCTTTTCGAAATCCAGCTTGAACATCTGGACGTTCTTGTTCACGTACTATTGAAGCCTCACTGGGAGAATTTTGAGCATTACTTTGCTAGCCTGTGAGATGAGTGCAATTGTACAGTAGCTTGGCATTGCCTTTCTTTGGGATTGGAATGAAAACTGACCTTTTCCAGTTCTGTGGCCACTTCTGAGTTTCCCAAATTTGCGGGCATATTGAGTGTAACACTTTCACAGCATCATCTTTTAGGATTTGAAATAGCTCAACTGGAATTCCATCACCTCCACCAGCTTTGTTCGTAGTGATGCTTCTTAAGACCCACTTGACTTCACATTCCAGGATGTCCGGCTCTTGGCGAGTGATCACATCATCATGGTTATCTGGATCATGAAGATCTTTTGTGTATTCTTGCCACCTCTTCTTAATATCTTCTGCTTCTATTAGGTCAATACCATTTCTGTCCTTAATTGTGCCCATCATTGCATGAAATGTTCCTTTGGTATCTCTGATTTTCTTGAAGAGATCTCTAGTCTTTCCCATTTTATAGTTTTCCTCTTTCTTTGCATTGATCACTGAGGAAGGCTTTCTTATCTCTCGGTGTGATTTTTTGGAACTCTGCATTCAGATGGTTATATCTGTCCTTTTCTCCTTTGCCTTTTGCTTCTCTTCTTTTCACAGCTATCTGTAAGACCCCCTCAGACAACCATTTTGCCTTTTTACATTTTTTTTTCTTGGGGATGATCTTGATCACTGTCTCCTGTACAGTGTTATAAACCTCCATCCATAGTTCTTCAGGCACTCCATCTGTCAGATCTAATCCCTTGAATCTATTTGTCACTTCCACTGTATAATTGTAAGGGATTTGATTTAGATCATACCTGAATGGCTTAGTGGTTTTCCTTACTTTCTTCAATTTAAGTCTGAATTTGGCCATAAGGCGTTTATGATCTGAGCTACAGTCAGCTCCCAGTCTTGCTTTTGCTGACTGTATAGAGCTTCTCCATCTTTGGCTGCAAAGAATATAATCAGTCTGTTTTCGGTATTGGCTATCTCATGATGTCCATGTGTAGAGTTGTCTCTTGTGTTGTTGGAAGAGGGTGTTTGCTGTGACCAGTGCGTTCTCTTGGCAAAACTGTATTAGCCTTTACCCTGCTTCATTCTGCACACCAAGGTCAAACTTGCCTGTTACTACAGGTATTTCTTTGACTTCCTACTTTTGCATTCCAGCCCCCTATGATGAAAAGGACATCTTTTTTTTTTTGGTGTTAGTTCTAGAAGGTCTTTAAGGTCATCACAGAACCGTTCAGCTTCACCTTCTTTGGGATTAGTGATTGGGGCACAGATTTGGATTACTGTGAAATCTCAGTTGCCTCTTTACACCTAAATGTTAAATAGCCTGATGTAGCTTAGTGGCTGTCTGTTAGACCAAGCAAATGTAGAATGTTTACATCATTTCAGGAAGTTGTGCTGATCCCTTCTGTTGATCGTTTGACAACACTGTACTGAATTTTTCAGGTTGTTTGCTTTTCTCAGGTTCTTGGAATGCCAGTTCTCCCTTTAGTTATCTGCTAACTCCCTCTCTTGTAGTCTTTGTTATGGGAGAGGGCTACCCTTTTGGATTATGTAACTTTTGGCTATAAAGCTGCTTAAAATGTTGGGAGACTTGTGTTGTCCTGCCTCTTGAACAGACATAAGCATCTGTGTTTTCTTCTGGCTTCACTGGCTGATTTTTACAGGTGGCAGCAGATCAGGAATCCTTACATGATCATCAGTTTCCATTCTGATTCTCAGACTCATGTTGCCCTGAAACCCCTTTTTTTGTCTTTGTATAAGGATGTGAGACCCCCAACTCCCTAGTCACAGCTAGGTCCCATTCCAACCTTCTGTCCCTGTATTTCCAACTGTTTTCATCTCATCACTTCCCACTCTTCACACCTAGGGTGCCTTAATTCAAACACTAACCCGTCTCACTTTTGGTTTTTTTCTTTTGGCTCCTGGAGATCGTCCTTTCTGTCTTGCAAATTCAAAACTGTAACAGCAGGTTTGGGGATTATTTTTTATATTTTTCTCATTATGCAAATTATCACAATCTAAGTTTATGATAGGTTACCAGCTAGATAATTATCTGTATTCCTGCCACTTGGAAATTAGGTTAAACATCATTGCTATTTTATTGTACATCTCTGTACCTAGATTTTTTTAACATGTGTACAATGCTTGGAAAATATGTACATATGTGTGTATGTAGATATAGATACAGATATTATATATATTTACTTGGGATAATAGGAATACTATTTGTAAGCTAAAACACTAGCAGCTTTTTGTGATAGTAAATATACATCTAAACCTTATTTTTTTTCTTGCACATGGAATTACTTTCATTTTGTAAGCTTTGATTTGAGTTTGTATTTTTTCTTGGTTTGGTTTTAAATTTATCTCCTAGGTGTGTAAAGTATACTAATAAGATGTTTCTTATACATGTTCCTATTTTTATATACATAAGTAACAGTTATTCATATACCTGAATTATGGTGGGAAATGCTAGTGTGAGGATTCAAACATAGGCAGAGGGAAAAAGTTCTTACTCTGTTAACCAAGCCTGTCTTCTGTAGGCTAATATCTGTATACCACCCCTTTGCAGCAGATATATTTACAACAAAAATTTATTAATACTTCAAATGTAAAGAACTGTAATTGTAAAGAAGGTCATACAGATCTGTTTGAATTCCTGATGGGAAATGCTGGTATGTTTCATTTAACTCTGCAGTAAAGAAACTTGGATTTTACTAGGCAATGAAATTTTCTCCTTTAGAATTATATATAGGTTTAGAAGTATTATTAGTTAGAAGAAGATATAAGCATCTATAGTGCTGAAGCTGGAGTTTACCTACTTAATCCTAATATAAGGTTAAACTTCAATTTAATTTGAGTCCCTTTGATATTACTGAAAAAACATGAAGATCATGGTAAAATATTTTATGTTTTGAAACACCTCATACTTTGTAGAGTACTTTGATATTATATTGAATTATTCAAGGGAAATATTATTCCAATCTTAGAGAAACTGATTTTCCCAAAGCCAAAGAGTTTTTAAGACCACACAGTTGCATCAATAGTTACTTAAACTAATAGTGGCCAGAAATGGTTCTGGGTTCTTACGAATCCTTTGGGTACAGAGTTTGTTCTTGTTAGATCAGGCTCAGGCCAATGATCATACTGATTTTAAATAGCCCTAAATGAACTGAATTCATCTCATTGAAGCAGACATGCCTTTCTGCTTGTTTCAAGTTGAAGATAGAGGCTGTAAAAAGTACTCAGTATGAAGCAGTCATTTATTCTCAACTTTTCTGTGGTTTCTTAACAGACATTTGGAACAAAACAGGAGCTGTTAAGTTGGTCAGATGGTCTCCTGACAATAGTGTTGTGGTAGTGACCTGGGAATATGGAGGCCTTTCTTTATGGAGTGTATTTGGAGCCCAGCTGATTTGTACACTTGGAGGAGATTTTGCGTGAGTCAGTAAAGAAATTTTGGACAAAATAACTCCATTTTCTCTGAGACAATACACACACGCGCGCACGCGCATGTAAACTTTGTCATACAGCTACCAGTTTGCCTTATTTGACTTTTACCCCAAAACAGTTTATAAGGTTCAGAATTAATTTATTTAGAATGTATCAATCCTTCATATATCCATCCTCTTTCAGTTGATTGTTCCTTCAATAAAAATGCATTTATTTATCGAACCCCTGTTGTGTATGTGATAAATGTTTGATTCAAGGCTAAATCACACATGAATCTATGTTCAAGGAGCTTATTATCTAATGAGAGCTGTAAACTATTTATATAAGTAGCCAGTAGAAAGTGAAAAATTACATTATCTCATTGAGTTACAGGTTTTCTGTGGGTTGACAGAAGAGGGTTAAGGTTAATACTCTGCCCATTTCATGTACTACCCTGAACTTTAGTCCTGACATAATGAGCACACCTGTCCAAACTGCATGACCCTGTCAAGAAATTATTTAGTACCTGGAAGACTGTATCTCAGTGACATACCTAGGTATATTGACCAGGAGTCTCATATTTCACACTGTATTGTGTATTTCTCTTTCAAAGGAAGAAAGTCATTTTTAAAAAAATTAAAGCTGAATGTTTTATGCAATTAGAAGATTCTTTTTAATTTTCTGTTCTGTTTCAGTTATAGGTCAGATGGTACCAAAAAAGATCCCCTTAAAATCAACTCCATGGTAAGTTCTTTCTATAAAATATTGACACGGTGTGGAAAACTTGGTTTTTTTCTTCTTCCTGTTTTCCCTTCATACTGACCTAATGAAATTAAAAAGTTCTTCTAGTCTCATGAGACTCTTCTTACACAGTTCTTGCTTTAATGAAAGTGTTATGTTTAACAGTCTGTCTTTAACAGGCTATCTAATTTTTAATGTTTGATTTTTATTTTGTTTTGATGTGTCCAGCAAGGCCTGTCATCTCTGTGAACACAGTGACTGTTCAGATCAGGCGTTTGTTTTTCCAAAACATACCTGCATTTTTTATGTTATTCAACACCCACTTCCCGTAGCCTCCTTTTAATGTGAAGTGCTCTTTGGGTCTTTTTCCTGGAGGACATGTACATTATATCAAAAGAATTGCAGTCCTTCTTGTAATAGTATTTTTACAGTCAATTTTCAACAGCTTCTGTAGAAAGCAGTGAAGTATAACTACCCTGTCTTTACATAAAATCATTTTCTTACTATAGCCCCCTCTGTACCACCTTTGTGATGTTCGTGGCTGTGAGGCTCAGGCTTATCACTGCCTTTCTCCCCTGCTCCTCAGAGGAAGGCATTTTCTGATCGTGGGTTTCTCGAAGAATTTAAACCACCGTGGTTGCCTTGAACAGGGGTTTCCAACCTTTCATCACCAAGGATCCCATCTGATGACTCTCCACACCTTCATACTTTTAAGTTTTCAAACACTGTTTCTGTGACTGCCCATCAGTGCTTCTGAATGGCATGCAACAAATGCAACAACTGGTGTTACCAGCCTCATTAAGCTGATATTTTAATCACAAACTAAGAATCTAAGCATTTTAGTTAACATGTGCAACTGAAACTTTTCAAGGGAAAGCAGAACTTTTGAAATTTTGCAGCAATTCATGGACCTCTCCTCCCAATAGTGTTTTCTTGGCCTTGCAGGATGGGGATTACTACTCTTCCCATGATTTTTTTTTTTTAAGTGATTTTCACAATCATGAAATCTAGTTATAGAATATTAAAATTGACTGGGCCTGGTTAATTTCTTTGAGCTCTCTCATTTTATAGAGGAAGAAACTTATACACCCTGTAAAACCAAATACTTTGGCCAAGATAGTACAACTAAATGGTAGGCAAGCTGCAGTGGAAACCCTAGTCTCATAGTCACCAGTCCATTTTCTTTGTTCTGTACAAGATTGTATCTGTTGCAGTGCTTGTTTGTCAAGCTTCAGCTATGTAATGTGGATCTTGTCTCTGTGAGGAAGTTCTTTGTATTTGAGAGGCAGTTAAATTAATAGACAAGTTACAGAGAGCAGTAGGCATTTCTTAACATTTGTAACTAGGATTAGTACATAGTGTTTTCACTATTCTAGGTGGAGAGCAGTGAGGGTTTCTACTGGTGATCTAAGATGTAGTAGATGTAGGTATATGATTCTTGTCTGTGTTGTTTGCCACGGTATCTCCAGCCTTCAGAAGTAATTAATAATGCTTATTGTTGGTTATTTGAGAATTTAAATATTTAAAACCAGGAAAAATAACTAATTTTCTATTACTTTGATTTCCCCCTCTTCTTTTTCTTCCCCCGTCTTTCCCTAAGAGCTGGGGTGCTGAAGGCTATCACCTCTGGGTAATCAGTGGATTTGGTTCTCAAAATACTGAAAATGGGTCTGACTCCAAGAGTATAGTTAAACAGCCTGGTATTCTACTGTTTCAGTTTATCAAGAGTGCACTCACTGTAAACCCTTGTATGGTAAGTTTATTTAATTAAAACTCTGTTTGGTTTTGTTTTTAATGGCTTTCATGTTAGAATATATCAGACACATATGCCCTTATGACACAGATATGTTGCATGTACTCCTAAAATTGGCATACGATCTTCTTTTGTATATTTTCTGTGATTATTAGGTTTCTTTTTAATTTATATTAAATAATACCCCCAAATTTTATTTCTGAGCAGGATTAGCTTTTGGAGGGGATAGGCTGCAAGATCTTAGCTCCCTGACCAGGGATCAGACCTGCACCCTCTGCAGTAGATGCACTGAGTTGTAACCACTGAACCACCACGGAAGTCCCATGCTTTTTTTTTTTAAAGTAGGATCGTAAGCAACTTGAGGAAAAGCAGTGTTTACAGACTTACTTGAATAACTTGAATAAAATTTAGTGTTAATAGCATTCCCCAAAGTGTGTTCCACCAGGCACAATTTGTGAGAAATGTAAATAGCAATTACATAGAATAAGAAAAAGTTCTGTTGTCTTGTGTGAAATAAAGGAGTTAAAGAAAGCTGTAGAGATTTTTTTAGCATAGGAATCTAGTCTTTAATATGCTAATGTGCATCATAAAAGTCCAGGAGTTGGTATATAAAAAGCAATATTTCCCTAGCTTACTTACCTATGAATTTTTAAGGAAGACCTGCAAGAAAATAAGCCTAGAATCCTGCTTTGGGAAACACTTCCCCAGATTATAACATAAATTCATGTTTATCAGTCTGAAATATGATATTAATATGCTATGTGTAAGAATAGTATATGTTGCATGATAGAAATGCATATCTTAGTATCTGCCATCAATGGGTTTTTAAATATATGGTGCAGCCAGTTTCTAATTAAAATTTACAACACACTGAGAAAGAATGAAAATACTGTGGATCTCAGACCTTACTACTGTAGTTGAATAATAAGAAAAACAAGAGTAGAGGATTTCTTCCTCTGCTCCCTCATCCAAAATAATAATATAAAAACACCCTGAGTTTTATGTTAAGATGATGTTTGGACTACAATGGGAAGATGAGGGGTCAGGGTGCTGATCTGTCTAATTTATAAAAAACAGTGAGTGCATAATCTGCCTACATTTGAAAACACTGGCCTTTCACAAAAGTAAAAACTTTTTGTCTAAATGTCTTCAGAGCCTGGCATATCCCTTGGTACTAAGCAAGCAGTTATTGAATTGTTCTGAACCAGGACCACAGATGTAGGCTACTCTTCCTCCTCCCCATGATTTAAAAGATCCTCCAGAGTCCAGTTATCCCTGTGTCTAATCCACTCCTTGCCGTGTGGGCACATGGGTGAGCATATACACAAAGTGTCTGACCAGACATGTTTTCTTATCACCATTCATGAGATACTTTATATAAAACTGCTTTGTAAACTGTAGACATTGAGTAGTTTTATTCAGTTTTCAGATGGAAAATCTCTCATAGCATTGCCATTTTGAAGTAGTTGCGAAAGATACTGCTATAGCAGTTGTAACCCTGGGCATGTTTTGGAATCTATATGATAAACTTTAATAAAGATTTTTTTTTACACTGGGAAGAAATCATTAAAATGTTGCCTGTTAGTCTTAAATGTAACAGTGTGAGCAATTTTTATGTAGTCTTGTCCTCTGTGAGGAGAATCAACGCTGAAATGTATGGTATATTTCCAGCAATAAAACTAAATCGACATTTTACTTACTTTCCACCACCTTATATTGACTTGTTTTTATTTGCTTCCCTTCCCTCTGCTTCCTTTTTTTCTCATCTAGAGTAACCAAGAGCAAGTGTTGCTTCAGGGGGAGGATCGATTGTACTTAAACTGTGGAGAGGCCTCACAGAGCCAGAATCCCAGGAGTTCTTCAGCTCACTCTGATCACAAAACCCGTCGGGAAAAGAGCCCCTTTGCAGATGGCAGTTTAGAGTCTCAGAGTTTAAGCACTTTACTTGGTCATCGGCATTGGCATGTAGTACAGGTAAGTCTTGAGATGCTGTTGACTAGTGACTTAGTCCTTGCTAAGGTAGCACCTAAAACAGATGTTTAAGTAGTTCATTTGCTGCTTTAGAGAACTGAGGAGCTTTCTAACCTTTTTTGACTGTGACTCTCTTCTGCTTTTCTGTGCTCTTGTCCTCTTGTCTTCTCCTTTCTTTCCCCCTGATGTAGATTGTATTCCCACCTGGTTTAAGTCCATTAATAAGTGAATAGTTTGAAAAACTACAAGTGTATGCTTTGCCTTTTATGGTGCAGGAATGTTTATTTTACTCCCAGCCTTCTTTTGGTACAAATTTGGCTCTAGATTTGCAGAGGGAGAAGAGTGGTAATTTCATGAAAAGTGACAGTCAGTTAGTCCCCTGTCCATATGACCCTGTAGTCCTAATGGGTGCACATTGAGGTTAATTGCCTGACTCTGGACCCAAGTTGAAGACTTGTCTAGAGCATTACTGTTAATAATTTTATTGTTACTCAGTCTTACTCCAGATTATTTACTCATTCTGATATAACTTTCAAATTAGTGGTTTCTTTTAGTAATTCTGATAAATTGACATTTAATATAGAAATTCTGAGGTTTGAAAACAAAATTAATTTGGACAAATTAGTAAATTGAAGTTTCTTGAAAGAAACTTTCATACATATTTGAGAGTCCTGAGTGTTTTCTTCCCAGTTTTGTCACCAAAGTGTCTTAGGTACATCAGAGTCTACTCTTGAGTCAGTTTCTTTTAGTCATTGTCTATTTCCACAATTCTTTGTTTTCTACATTCTATACTTTTACCTTACTAGCTTACTTCACCTCCCATGTTGTTTTCAATTGACTTTGAGTGGAGATAATGAGAGATAGAAGAATGGTCACTGTGTGAAAAATTAAAGGAAGAATATCTCCTACATTGACATGTGGTATACACTAAAAGAAAATGTATTTAACTTACATTGATAAATTCATAAAATCAAACAATGTGCATACCATTTTATAATTAGTAACAGTTATTAAATAAAACTGCATCAGCTACTTCCTTGACTAAAATTTTCCACTGCTCCCTTCTCTCCTATAGCCATTTCTCTGCTATTTTCATTCCCCCATACTTTGAACTATTCATTCTACACTGACCTAGCATGAATGCCAGTTCTGCCTAGCCAGGTCTGTGTTGCCAGAGAGCCAAGTAGAGCAGAGGATCGAAGAAGGTAGGTCTGGAACTCAAAAATCCATCAGGCAATAACAAAAACGGAACTTCCTTCCAGCTCAAAAATTCAGTGATTCTGTGATTCATAGCCATTTATGAAGTATCCTGTGTTAGAAGCATATAACACTGCTTTTACAACTTCAGACAAATAGGTACTAGCAAGATTTTTCTGTCATTCTGTTCTTTAGATATCTAAAATATTCAGAAAGATAAACTTAACTCTAGCTTTACCTAATGGTTTCCTTTTCCTTAAAAACTAATAAAAATAATGCTAGAGTTGTTGTATTCCCCCAGATTAAGTTATAATGGACTCATAGAATTTTTAGAGCTGGAAGGACCTTAGCAATCATGTAGTCCAACTAGATTTTATACATGAGGAAATTGAAGCTCAGGGAAGTTAGGTGACTTGCCCAAGGTCACACAGCAGAATAGTGGCAGACTTGATCCTTATCATGATACAAATTAAGGGAATAATAGAACCTATTTTAAAACCTAGATACTAAATGTTAAAGCATATAATATACTGCTGACTTAGATCTAGTAATAAAACCTAGCATGTGCCTACTTGGCATTGTTTTTACTTTGAGTTGCCCTATGCTATGTTTGCTGGTAATCCAGCCTCAAGAGTCAATGCAGTGTTTTGGTGGTATGTGTTTGGTAGTGTGGTTTACAGTGTCCATATAATGCTAATGCTTTACCTTCCATACATTTTAGCCTTTAGTAAGTATTCCCTGAAGAAACATGGGTGCCTGTCTAATTCTGCCTTCAGCACATTCTCTTATCCAGGAGAGTGCCTGCATCCTCCATTAAAGTGGCTTTGTTTGTGTGATTAATATTTTGTATGCTTCTTGTACAGCTTAGAGTTCATCAGATGAGCTCAACTAATTCTGCTGCTCTGTCTGTTCCCCATCTAGATTCCTAGGTTTTTTGTTTGTTTGTTTAAGCTTTCTACCTTATACTCATTAGTTTCCTGGTCAGAAGATTCTTTGTTAATTATGTTTTCTCCTTTAACAAAAATAACACAAATGCATACTTGTCAGAAGCAGGGTAATGTATCAGGCACTTTGTTAGGGAGGTCAGCAAAGACTATTATAATTTATAAATTGCCATGTAATTTACAAATTTATAAATTTTATATTGTAAAGGCTATTTAGTTTATAAATGATTTGCTGTCATTCCTACAGTGTGAATCAACTGTTCCAGGTATTTGGCACAGATCAGATCTCCTAGGATGATGGTTTTCACAGTCTCACCAGATACAGACAGAAGTAAATCTGAGGAGGAGACAGGGTTTTAGCAGAATGACTTTAAAGGAAAAAAGGTAGATTTAGGTTCTATGAGAGATGGAAAAATCCTAAGTTGTTAAGAGTAGAGATTCTGTAGCTTAGCACTGGATTTCCCAGTGGTGTGACATGACTTTTGTGCCCTGAGTATGCAGTCCTGACCTGAGTTTTCTTCGTCATTCATTAGCCACCTCTTTTTTTAGTTTTGCCATTTTTTGTTCTCAGTATGAGGGGTGGAACTCAGAAGTTCAGGTAATATGTAGATCTCCTGGGGAAAATTTTTTGTTCTTATTTCATAGCATCTTCAAGACATAAAACTGTATAAATAAAGCTTCAATGTAAGTTTTGAAAGCAAACCATTTGCCATTTGTGGCATCTCATACACTTTTGGAGGATAGAAGAATAAATTGTTTTCTCTTAGATATTCATCAGAGTCTGATCAACTGATAAGATTTAACCTTGGTTCCTGTGATTAGAAACTCTTCATGTTGGAATCCACTTTGGCAGTGAGATCTCACTTCCCACTTTACCCACTCACATTTCATAAATACTATGAAATACCAAGGTTTGGGGGAAGTGGGGCATTTTGTTTGTTTGTTTGTTTTTTCAGTGTCTTGAGTGCTAGTTCAGTTGTACTCCAGGAACATCCTTCATCAAGTGACTATTTTTATTTTCTTCATTCAAAAAAAGAATTTCACTTATAACTACAAAACTACTTTCAAATTTTACTTTGCCACCTGATCATTACCTCAGATTATCATTATTCTGAACTAATTTCACCCATCATAATGAATTTTACTAGTTGGCCTGAATGGTACAGCATATCTGTTAAGATACAAGTTAAGCATTCTTCAAGTATATCTGTCACTTAATTCTGTAAGGTAGGCATCCACACATCAGCAGTTCTGGGGTTAAGAACTTCCTAATGTACTAAAAGTTATTAATTTATTTAGATTTTAGGATGACTAACTGGATAGTAAGTGAAGTCTAACAAAAATAGTTTTATGAATAAATTTTATCAAGATTAATACAGATGTTTTCAGAGTTTTTGGGGGTTTTTTTGCTTGACTTTGGTTTCGTCTTCACATTACACAAAGAAGCTTATTGGCTTTGATTGCATTTACTTGGCTTTTTCATTTGGCTTTCCTTTTTTAAATGTGTAATAATTTTTATTTGAGTAAAAGGCAAATAAATAAATTGAAGGTTCTGTAGTTATTCCGGAACAGAAGATTTTTCCTTTGTTCTGTTGTTCTGTTAATTTTCACCCTTCATTCACCATGTGCTCATGAAATTATTTAATCAGCAGACTAAGAAAGGTCACAGTTTCAATAAAGCTAGACTTGACTTAATATGCATTGATATCTCACAGAGGATTTTCTAAGTTTAAAATTCTCATTAGAGTAATAAAATGACATCATGTACAAAACTGAGACAGACAGCATGGAAAGATAATCTGTTGTTGATGCTGCAGATGTAGAGTTCATATCTGTAATATATTAAAAGTACTTATAGGTGAATAAATAGCCATGACTTATACACACTCTTACGTGTACATGGCTGTTTAGAAACAGAATAAAAACTAACCAGTTGTTTCCCTTGAGCAGTGATGTAAGAGAAGAATTTCAGTTTGTACTTTGTGTACTTATATTTTGTTTAAAATTTATAAGCATGCATTGATTTTTTAATCAGAAAAATATAAAAATAAGAAAGAGAGTTCTATTTAAAAAAAAAAAACTCTTGCTGAGGCTCTGATTTTATTAGATAAGATTTTAGGGATGGTTCATATCAGCAGAACCAGACTGTTCATCTACACAGTTCTTGGCTACCATTGTAGATGCTTCTCTAAATATCTTTTGTCATTCCGTTATTTATTGAGTGTTCAATATTTAAAACAAACAAAAACTGTATAGAGAAAAAAGAGGAAAGCCTGATGTGTAAAAACATATAATGAAATGGATGAGACAGGAGATATGCAATATTGGCTGCTAGTAATACTCATTATTTGGGAGCACTTTAAACATTACAGGAAAATTAATCTCATATTATGATGCTAATGCTTTACATTTAAATATAGTAAACATTTCAAAAGTCTTACAAACTGATGTGTTATTTCCTAGATTTCCAGCACCTATCTAGAGAGCAATTGGCCTATACGGGTGAGTTATTTGTTACTTTGTTGGTGTTAACTTTCATTGGATGGCATGTGCTGCAAGAGGTATTCTGGGGATTGAGCCTTTCAGTGGGTGCATTGATAGAAGTTTCAGTGCTTGATTCCTTGTACATTGTTAGTGTAAATCTATAATTTTGTTAAATATAATTTAAATATGAGTTTTGAATTTAGCATTTTATATTTAATTCACTTAGCAAATGTTTATTAATAGTCTGCCGTCCTGACATAATCCTTAGCTCTTATGTCTAAATAAAAAATTCAAGGAAGAGATCTTAATTTTTTTTAATTCAGTTTTCAGCTATTGATAAACTTGGCCAGAATATTGCTGTTGTTGGCAAGTTTGGTTTTGCACATTACTCTTTACTCACCAAAAAATGGAAGCTTTTTGGAAACATTACCCAGGTTAGTCTTTTTGAAATTAAAAACCTATTTCTCAAAGTGTGGGAGAACTACAATATGAATTAAGTATAGAGTAAACCACTGCTTACTTACTAAGAAGTAAAATCAAGACATTACAAAATGACTGAATTGTGTCCAAGGGTCAGTTCTGATAAGGTACTTGGTATTTGATAATGGATTTTGTATTGAGATAGTTGTTGTTCAGTTGCTAAGTTGTGTCCAACTCTTTGCAACCCCTTGGACTGCAGCATGCCAGGCCCCGCTGTCCCTTACCATCACCTGGAGTTCGCCCAAGTTCATGTCTGTTGAGATAGATAGTTTGTTTTTAATTCTTGTTAAGATTAGACGCTAATCCTGTAATTGAAAATTTACTCTTCCATTTCAGGTAGAGTTCATCAGATATGATTGGAATAAATCTCCACAAATTTGAGGTTGTTCCCTGCTTGTCTGTGTACAATATAAACATCTGGGTAGCATACAAATGTGCATTTGGATTTTGCAAGAATCAAATAGGAGGAAAAGAAAAGGAAGTTGACATTTACTCAGTGCCTGCTATGTACCAGGCACTTTTCATATATCTCACTGATCTTAATAACAACCCAGTGAGGGCACTGCTATTACCATTTTATGTAGGATTCAGAGTCAGGCAGCTGGTAAACGATAAAGCCAGAATGTAAACCAGGATGTACTGAATGTGGAATAATGATGCTACATGGTTCCCAGTGACTTTGAATGATGTATTTTCTGTCTTACAGAAATACACATTTTTTTCAAAATAGGATCTGAATCATTATTAATAAAGGCCCTCGAGTAACACTTTATGTTGTCGGGAGGGAGGAATAGAGAGTGGAGCAGAAATAATTAGAGCTTTCATTGTCTGATTAGGAATATTTTACAAATGTATTACTGGCAAGAATAAATGTGTGTGTGTATATATATATATATATATTTTTTTTTTTTTTTAAGGAGCAGAATTTGGGCCTGTGGATGAAAAATCATTAAGAGGAAACATCAGGGCATTCTGGCTAAACCAACTTGACAAAGGTCATTGAAGGTAAGCAAGAATAATCAGATCCTAAGGGTGCAGGATGAAGAATTTGATCAGATACAGAAGGTGATCAGGTATCCCTTATTAAGCGTAGGGATTCTTGCTAAACTGATTTAGCAGGGACTTTGCAGCTTCTTTATCACTACCAAAGCAAATGAAGACCAAAGGTGCCTATTTGTGAGATGGGGCGCATGGTTGGAGGGAGGGGATATGTGCATATTTGTAGATGATTCATGTTGTTGTACAGCAAAAACTAACACAATATTGTAAAACAATTATCCTCTAATTAAAAGTTAAAAATGGTAAAAAAAAAAAAAGAAAGATACTTTCCATAAAAA